TGTCTCATATAAAAAAAGTGCGGTAGGTTGGACGCTTTTTCAGCAGAGCTTTGTAAAAAAAAGGGGGTAATGAAGTGATGTACGGGACTTTAGCGAGGACCAGCCAACCTTCTGATACAGGATGCAGTGATGAGTATTAAACCTGTCACCTGTGATAAAATGAAGTGTGCTATGGTAGACTGCATCAAAAGATTTTAGTGGCGTCTGCTGCATTTTGATTAATGGTGTCCCATAGTCCAACACTGGCAAGAAAGTTGATTATACAATCTGCTTCCTGCTGTTTAGAGCGAGGCAAGATTTATTTCTAAAAAGTTTAGCTTTTTAACTAGCTTTTCCGTATGTTTTTTAATAGTTAAATCTTTATCAACCCAAACGCCCATATATTTATAAGCGGGAACATGCTCGATGAGAGAACCATCCAATGAGTAAATATGTAGTCCAGCTGAGACTTTTTTGCGTGAATTAGAGAACATATATTTAGCTTTGCCCGCATTAAGTACACGTTTTATATCAACAAGGGCTTTCTGTAATATACCAAAATCATGTTGCAGCTCTAACATAGACTGGTCAACAGTTGGTGCAATGGCATAGATAACTGTATTGTCTGCATACAGATGCATATTACAGGATTTAAAAGATCAACCAATATTATTTATATACAGAAAAAGACCCCTTCACTTTTTCCACATTTTGTTACGTTACAGCCTTATTCTAAAATTGATTAAATCATTTTTTCCCCCTCATCAATCTACACACAATACCCCATAATAACAAAGCAAAAAAAGGTTTTTAGAAATGTTTGCAAATGTATAAATAAACGGAAATATCACAGTTACATAAGTATTCAGACCCTTTACTCAATACTTTGTTAAAGCACCTTTGCCAGCAATTACAGCCTTGAGTCTTCTTGGGTATGAAGCTACAAGCTTGGCACAATACCCCATAATGATGAAGCAAAAACAGGTTTTTAGAAATGTTTGCAAATTTATAAAAAACAACAACAACAAATAAATACCTTATTTACATAAGTATTCAGACCCTTTGCTATGAGACTCGAAATTGAGCTCAGGTGCATCCTGTTTCCATTGATCATCCTTGAGATGTTTCTACAACTTGATTGGAGTCCACCTGTGGTAAATTCAATTGATTGGACATGATTTGAAAAGGCACACACCTGTCTATATAAGGTCCCACTGATGACAGTGCATGTCAGAGCAAAAACCAAGCCGTGAAGTTGAAGGAATTGTCCGTAGAGCTCTGAGACAGGATTGTGTCGAGGCACAGATCTGGGAAAGGCTACCAAAACATTTCTGCAGCATTGAAGGTCCCCAAGAACACAGTGGCCTCCATCATTCTTATATGGAAAAAGATTGGAACCACCAAGACTCTTCCTAGAGCTGGCCGCCCAGCCAAACTGAGCAATCAGGGGAGAAGGGCCTTGGTCAGGGAGGTGACCAAGAACCCGATTGTCACACCCTGGCTCTGGGGACTCTATATGTTGAGCCAGGGTGTGTAGATTCTATGTGTTTGTGTTCTGTGTTGTAGTATCTAGTTTTGTATTTCTATGTTGGCCAGAGTGGTTCTCAATCAGAGGCAACGAGTGTCAGCTGTTGCTGGTTGTCTCTGATTGGGAACCACATTTAAACAGGCTGTTTTCCCACAGTAGTTGTGGGATCTTGTTCCGTGTTCCGTGTTGGTTGTGTTATTACCTAGGACGTCACGTTATCGTTTGTTGTTTTATTTATCGTGTTATCACTATTGATAATAAAGTATGTTTGCATTTCACGCTGCACCTTGGTCCTCCTCCTTCGACGATCGTGACAGAAGATCCCACCATACCAGGACCAAGCAGCGTGTCCAGGAGCAGGCAGCCTGGACGTGGGAGCAGATATTGGACGGGCAGGGGTCCTGGACCTGGGAGGAAATCCAGGCCGGGATGGATCGCCGTCCGTGGAAGGAGACGGTGGAGGCGCGACGGAGAGAGGAGCAACGGCGTCAACAGTGTCGTCGTCGGACGGACGAGAGGCAACCCCAAAACATTTTTAGGGGGGGGGGCACACGGCATGGGCGACGGGGCAGCAGGAGGCAGCTACAGGGCGTATTGGGAGGTTGGGTGAGGAGGCCACCAGGTTAAGGGGGCTATTGGTCCAGAGGGAGCAGGAGTTAGTGGTTCAGAGGGTGGAGCTACTGGAGGCGATAAGGGAGAAGGTGAGAGTAGAGGCACGGCGAGAGGAACTGTGTAGGCAGCTGAGGGAGCGGAGGGTTATGAAGAAACCCAGTCCCGCTCCTCACACCAAGCAAGTGGTGTGCAACACCAGTCCGGTCCGGCCCGTTCCTGCTCCCCGCACTAAGTTGATGGTGCGCGTCGCCAGCCCGGCCCGGCCTGTTCCTGCCCCTCGCACCAAGCCTACGGTGCGCGTTGCCAGCCCGGCCCGGCCTGTTCCTGCTCCCCGCACCAAGCCAATGGTGCGCATTGCCAGCCCGGCCCGGCCTGTTCCTGCTCCCCGCACCAAGCTAATGGTGTGCGTCGCCAGCCCGGCCCGGCCTGTTCCTGCTCCCCGCACCAAGCTAATGGTGCGCGTCGCCAGCCCGGCCCGGCCTGTTCCTGCTCCCCGCACCAAGCTAATGGTGCGCGTCGCCAGCCCGGCCCGGCCTGTTCCTGCTCCCCGCACCAAGCTAACGGTGCGCGTCGACCAGCCCGGCCCGGCCTGTTCCTGCCACTCGCACCAAGCCTATGGTGCGCGTCGCCAGGCCGGCCCGGGCTGTTCCTGCCACTCGCACCAAGCCAGGGGTGCGAGTCGTCAGCCCGGTACGGCCCGTTCCTGCTCCACGCACCAAGCCAGGGGTGCGCATCGTCAGCCCGGTATGGCCCGTTCCTGCTCCACGCACCAAGCCAGGGGTGCGCATCGTCAGCCCGGTCCGGCCCGTTGCTGCTCCACGCACCAAGCCAGGGGTGCGCGTCGTCAGTCCGGCACAACCTGTGCCTGGGTCACCGGTGCCTGATCAGGTACCGGTCAGCTGCTCCACACCGGAGCCTAAGCAATCCGCTCCTACGATGTCCAGTCCAGCTCCAGCCAGCGGGGCCAGACCGGACCAGGGGTGCTACGGGGGGATGGTTGAAGGGTGGGGGTCAAGCCCGGAGCCGGAACCGCCTCCGAGGAGGAATGCCCACCCAGCCCTCCCCTGTTTGGTTTATGTTGAGGCGCGGTCGCAGTCCGCGCCTTTGGGGGGGGGGGTACTGTCACACCCTGGCTCTGGGGACTCTATATGTTGAGCCAGGGTGTGTAGATTCTATGTGTTTGTGTTCTGTGTTGTAGTATCTAGTTTTGTATTTCTATGTTGGCCAGAGTGGTTCTCAATCAGAGGCAACGAGTGTCAGCTGTTGCTGGTTGTCTCTGATTGGGAACCACATTTAAACAGGCTGTTTTCCCACAGTAGTTGTGGGATCTTGTTCCGTGTTCCGTGTTGGTTGTGTTATTACCTAGGACGTCACGTTATCGTTTGTTGTTTTATTTATCGTGTTATCACTATTGATAATAAAGTATGTTTGCATTTCACGCTGCACCTTGGTCCTCCTCCTTCGACGATCGTGACACCGATGGTCACTCTGACAGAGCTCCAGAGTTCCTCTGTGGAGATGGAGGAACCTTCCAGAAAGACAACCATCTCTGCAGCACTCCACCAATCAGGCCTTCATGGTAGAGTGGCCAGACGGAAGCCACAGCCTGCTTGGAGTTTGCCAAAAGGCACCTAAGGACTCTCAGACCATGAGAAACAAGATTCTCTGGCCTGATGAAACCAAGATTGAACTCTTTGGCCTGAATGCCAAGTGTCATGTCTGGAGGAAACCTGGCACCATCCCTATGGTGAAGCATGATGGTGGCAGCATCATGCGGTGGGGATGTTTTTCAATGGCAGGGACTGGGACACTAGTCAGGTTCGAGGCAAAGATGAACGGAGCAAAGTACAGAGAGATCCTTGATGAAAACCTGCTCCAGAGCGCTCAGGACCTCAGACTGGGGCGAAGGTTCACCTTCCAACAGGACAACGACCCTAAGCACACAGCCAAGACAATGCAGTAGTGGCTTCGGGACAAGTCTCTGAATGTCCTTGAGTGGCTCAGCCAGAGCCCAGACTTGAACCCGATCGAACAGCTCTGGAGAGACTTGAAAATAGCTGTGCAGCAATGCTCCCCATCCAACCTGACAGAGCTTGAGAGGATCTGCAGAGAAGAATGGGAGAAACTCCCCAAATACAGGTGTGCCAAGCTTGTAGCATCATACCAAAGAAGACTTGATGCTGTAATCGCTGCCAAAGGTGCTTCAACAAAGTACTGAGTAAAGGGTCTGAATACTTATGTAAATGTGATGTTTCAGTTTATTTTTTATTTTTATAAATTAGCAAAAAATTATAAAAACCTGGTTTTGCTTTGCCATTATGGGCTATTGTGTGTAGATTGATGAGGGGGGAAAAAAAACAATTTTATCAATTTTAGAATAAGGCTGTAACGTAACAAAATGTGGAAAAAGTCAAGGTGTCTGAATATTTTCCGAAGGCACATAAGTATAGGTCAGCAATGGGGAGTTACTGCTTCCTACAAGAGCACTGTCACTCCCTGGCTCTGGGGACTCTTATATGTTGAGCCAGGGTGTGGATTTTCTATGTGTTATTTTCTATGTTTTGTTCTAGTTCGTGTATTTCTATGTTGGCCAGGGTGGTTCCCAATCAGAGGCAGCTGTAGGTTGTTGTCTCTGATTGGGGACCATACTTAGGCATCCTGTTTGGCACTGTTTATTGTGGGATCTTGTTCCGGAAGGTTTGTGTTCAACCCAGGACTTCACGTATCGTTTGTTTTGTTGTTTTGGTTCGTGTTGTGTACTGCAATAAAAGAATGTACGCATATCACGCTGTGCCTTGGTCCGCTTCATCTAACGACGATCGTGACAGAAGATCCCACCATAAAAGGACCAAGCAGCGTGCCAAGCAGGAGGAGTTTGGCGATGTCCCAGGTGGGCGAATGGTGGTCTTGGGAGGACATATTCGCGGGCAGAGGGCCCTGGGCAAAGGTACAGGCCCTGGCAAGAGAGGAGAAACGGCACCAACCGTGCCGAAGACGGACACGCGAGAGGCAACCCCAAGAAATTTTTTTGGGGGGGCACACGGCATGGACGACGGGGCTGATGGAGGCAGCTACAGGGCGCATCGGCGATTTAGGAGAGGAGGCCACCAGGTTTGGGGGGCTGGAAGGGTGGTTGGCGGAGCCTAGAGGTAGAGCAGAGCCAACTTCCCGTACTCAGGCTAGGCAGCGTGAGACTGGGCAGGTTTCGAGTTATGCGGAGCTACGTACTGTGCCGCGAGTGTTCCGGCACAGTCCTGTACGTCCTGTGCTAGCACCACGCACGTGTCGTGCTAAGGTGGGCATGCAGCCAGGACGGAGTGTGCCGTCTCAACGCTCGTGGCCTCCAGTACCCCTCCTCGGTCCCGGATATCCTGCGCCAGTGCCACGTGCTGTAGTGTCAGTACGAGTGCACAGCCCTGTACGTCCTGTGCTGATGCCTCACACAGAGTGTGTGGAAATAGGCATTCAGCCAGGACGGGTTGTGTCAGCTATCCGTTCCAGACCTCCAGTTTGTCTCCACAGTCCAGCCCGGCCTGTTCCTGTCCCTCGCACCAAGCCTGTGGTGCGTGTCGCCAGCCCGGTCCGGCCTGTTCCTGGTCCCCGCACCAAGCTAGTGGTGCGCGTCGCCAGCCCGGTCCGGCCTGTTCCTGTCCCTCGCACCAAGCCTGTGGTGCGCGTCGCCAGCCCGGTCCGGCCTGTTCCTGCTCCCCGCACCAAGCCAGTGGTACGCGTCGTCAGCCCGGTCCGGCCCGTTCCTGCTCCCCGCACCAAGCCAGTGGTGCGCGTCACCAGCCCGGTCCGGCCCGTTCCTGCTCCCCGCACCAAGCCAGTGGTGCGCTTAGTCAGTCCGGCACGGTCCGTGCCTGTTCCACCGGTGCCTGGTCCGGCACCGGTCAGCTGCTCCACACCGGAGCCAGAGCAATCCGCTCCACCGGTGTCCAGTCCAGCTCCGGCCAGCGGGACCAGACCAGGGGCGCTACGGGGGGGTAGAGAGAGAGTGGTGGTCACGCCCGGAGCCGGATCCGCCTCCGAGGCGGAATGCCCACCCGGCCCCTACCCTCTTGTGTTTGGTTGGCGCGGTCGCAGTCCGCGCCTTTGGGGGGGGTACTGTCACGCCCTGGCTCTGGGGACTCTTATATGTTGAGCCAGGGTGTGGATTTTCTATGTGTTATTTTCAATGTTTTGTTCTAGTTCGTGTATTTCTATGTTGGCCAGGGTGTTTCCCAATCAGAGGCAGCTGTAGCTTGTTGTCTCTGATTGGGGACCATACTTAGGCATCCTGTTTGGCACTGTTTATTGTGGGATCTTGTTCCGGAAGGTTTGTGTTCAACCCAGGACTTCACGTATCGTTTGTTTTGTTGTTTTGGTTCGTGTTGTGTACTGCAATAAAATATGTACGCATATCACGCTGCGCCTTGGTCCGCTTCATCTAACGACGATCGTGACAAGCACAAAACATGTAGGCTACATTTCAAGCTGTCTTTGAAAAGCCAGTCAGGTAAAAAGCTTATGTCTTAATTAAAGGGCCAGTGTTGTATTTTGAGACAGGCTTGAATATGCAAATAAGCCAATAGTCTTCATAATGTAAAACGTTTTTAAAAGTCTCATGCAATGTAGGCCTGCATTAAACACCACATATAGGCAACGGTAGGCTATATCATAGAAATCAAAAGCTATTTCCATGTGAAAATGTAATGGTATTTGCTCCATTGGTTTTGTTGGAAGGCCTACATTATGCTCAAATAACCACAATAGCCTATTGGCAACTGTCTAAAACTGTAAGGGTACAGCCTCAGTGTTCATTGTAAATGCGCGCCGGAAGTTGCACAAAATTCTCACAACGTTCAAGTTTCTACTCACAAGACCAAAAATGTGCTCAGTGCCCCCCAAAATTAGAGGGAACATTGCCTGTCTGTCAGATAGTTCTTAAACCATTTGCAAGACTCCTGATCCAGGCTGATTTCAGACAGTCTTTGAATGACTAGGGAATGGCCAATGGTGTCGAAGGCCTTGGAAAGGTCTATAAATAAGGCAGCACAATGCTTTTTATGACCTAGGCAATTTAACACATGATCTAAAACAAGCATAGTGGCTGAAACATTGCTATGCCCAGATCTAAAACCAGACTGGTGTACATTTAGAATAGAGTGAGAAGTTAACAAAGTTATTAGCTGGGAGTTGGTCAGGGATTCTAATACCTTGGCTAGGCAAGATAACTTGGAGATTGGGTGGTAGTTATTCCAAGTCAGAAGGATCTCCGCCCTTATGTAGATCTGCGGCTTTCCAGTAGCAATTGTCAAGTTAAAAATGCAGGTTAAATATTCAACAATGAGTTGGGCAGAGAGCTGTGGTAAGAAAAGGTCAAGTGAATCAGCCCCTGTGGATTGTTTTACATCGATCTTTAGCAAGGCACTAAACACATCAAGTAAAATGGTTGAAATGAAAATAAAGAAGATTGTGTGACTGGGACTTCATCATTCTCTACAATCTGTTTCGAGGTAAATAAACTTCCTCTAGAGAAATTAGAGGAATTCTCAGAAACTATAAAAAAAAAAAAAAATGGCCAGCTGAGGCAAAATGGAAATGAAAATCACCACAAATGTCCATTTAGTCTATTATGGGACCAGAGGCTGTCATAACCTGCAGTGGCAATGAGGGGTTGGAGTTTTGTTTCAACGATTTGACCACTTTCCAGAAGTTAGCTGGATTATGACCACTCTCATTACCACCAACTGCTAGCTACCTAAATAGCTAGCTCGCTAACGTTATCCTACCTCAACACAACTCGGATTTGGCTTGGAAACACGATAACATTTAGGTCACATGAGAATACAACTTGAGTTGCCCAATTCACCAGTGATTCTTGCTTTCACCATTAACCATTCACTTCACATACTTTTAATCGAATAAATAGAAAGTGAATACGACGGTGGTCCCACCATGTAATAACCAACCATGATAATGAATCAGTGCTCTCCTGTGTGTGGTGTTGTGGTGTGGTGGGTGTGTGTGTGGGGTGTTACCGTTGCAGAGTAATGTCGGTGTGCACCGGCCTATCTTGATGGGGCAGACTGATTACACTATGTACATGGGCACGGCAAGACTTACACACCAGCCTCACCTCTGCTCTCCAACGGTCATCGATGAAATCAGAATAGGTAGGTTAGTCTGACCTGTTCAAACTTTAACATAGTATATATTTGTTTGTCAGATATCACCTATCCTACCTGCCACTGATAAATAGAACAGTGACCGTGTGCATGTGTTCACAGATGCATCTTTGGAGCCAGCACTTGGATGATGTGATGGAGTCCTGACCGACAGACAGGCTTGATACTGACGTCTCTCAATGGAGAGAGACCTGGTACTAGGCATTAACATTTTACTAGACACATCTTTTACTTGTATTGCCTTTTTTATATTATTGCATGGTATCAGTCAATATGGGAGGGAGAAACCCTGTGTATTCTGCACCAGGATCAGGAAACGCCTGTTGTATATGGGACACCAAACAGGAAGGTATGACCAGTCAGCCAAGATAGCCCCATTACCTCCAGACAAAATGGCCACAGTATCTGTTTCAGCTGGGAATGATGGCTTCTATGATATTATATAAATGGTTGTTTATTCTACATGGACCTTTAACTACATTTGAAAGTTATCAAAACACTTAGTTTAGAATATCTACATAAATTCAGCAATTGCATCCCACTGGGCACGCACTGGTTGAATCAACATTGTTTCCATGTCATTTCAATGAAATTACGTTGAACCAACATGGAATAGACGTTGAATTGACGTCTGTGCCCAGTGGGATTCTTCTTATATTACTCTGTAGGCTACTGACCTATTCAAAGCTTCCTCCGGCATCTCACCATACATCTGCCTGTAGTTATTGAACTCAACCTGCAGGAGGTTTGTTTGTTGTGATTGAGTGGGGGAAACAGCAGCAGGCAAGATTCTGACCAATGATTTATATATACACTAGATGACTTACAGGGGGCACTGTTTTGAAGCCATGCGCCTCCATTGTAAAAAAAATTGGTTTACTCCAATAGCTGCATTATTTTTAAAATGGCATGTAGACAAACAAATTGACACATCTTGATTGTAGATTCTATTTCCAAAATCCAGAAGTAATCAACAAGTAAAACGTACACTGTTTTTCATTTTTTTGGTCTGACCTTTGGCTGATTTAAGATGAAAACGTCAATCCTTTTACTTTATTTGGCACCTAGGCACTTACTAAAGTCATTTATTTATTTATTTATTTAGCTTAACATAGCCTTGCAGTCCACCCTTTTTGGTATTTTATACCAGTTTCTATATCAGGCATGTTCTTCAAGCTATGAAAGATGGCAAAACATTTAATACTAATAATTGATTGAACTTACATGGCACTTTTCCAGACACTCAAAGCTCTTTGTAGTTTAAGGGAAAACTCATCACTCTAACGCCACTTACATACTCTTTATTTGTATTTATTTTATTGGCCCATCCAACCGCCTCTTTGGAGGACAAAAGTAACTTTGTTTTACATTTTAGTTTTTTACAGATATTTTGTTACAGATACACTACCGGTCAAAAGTTTTAGAACACCTACTCATTCAAGGGTTTCTACATTGTAGAATAATAGTGAAGACTCAAAACTATGAATAACAGATATGGAATCATTTAGTAACCAAAAAATGTTAAACAAATCAAACTATATTTTAGATTTTTGATTCTTCAAAAAATCCCCACCCCCCTTCTTGAGAATGTATTCCCTTTTTAATGCGTTTTAGCCAATCAGTTGGTAGTGACAGGGAGGGTTGGGGGTTGGGGGGGGGGGGGGGGGGGGTATACAGAAAAGCCCTATTTTGGGAAAGCCCCGCCTATTATGGAAAAAACAGCTCAAATAATCAAAAAGAAATGACATGGTCCAAGCATTTTGCTAGATACACCATCCCCTCTGGTTTTGGCTTTGTGGGACTATAATTTTTTTTTCAACAGGACGACCCAAAACATCCAGGTGTAAAAGGGCTTTTTACCCAAAGGGGGAGATGATGGAGTGAGCATCAAAGGAAAAGAAAAACCTTTTTGGGGGGGGGCCTCCCCCCACATTCCCCCCGGGGGGCCCTTTCAAAAACCCCAAAATTTGGGAAAAAAAAAATGGGGGTTTTTTGGGGAGGAAAAAAAAATTTTTGGGGGGGGACTACCCTTACCACCTGGGGGCGGCCCGTCAGGAAGTCCAGGATCCAGTTGCAGAGGGAGGTGTTTAGTCGCAGGATCCTTAGCTTAGTGATGAGCTTAGAGGGCACTATGGTGTTGAATGCTGAGCTGTAGTCAATGAATAGCATTCTCACGTAGGTGTTCCTCTTGTCCAGGTGGGAAAGGGCAGTGTGGAGTGCAAAAGAGATTGCATCATCTGTGGATCTGTTGGGGCGGTATGCAAATTGGAGTGGGTCTAGGGTTTCTGGGATAATGTTTTTGATGTGAGCCATGACCAGCCTTTCAAAGCACTTCATGGCTACAGACGTCAGTGCTACGGGTCGGTAGTCATTTAGGCAGGTTATCTTAGAGTCCTTGGGCACGGGGGACTATGGTGGTCTGCTTGAAACATGTTGGTATTACAGACTCAGTCAGGGACATGTTGAAAATGTCAGTGAAGACACTTGCCAGTTGGTCAGCACATGCTCGGAGTACACGTCCTGGTAATCCGTCTGGCCCTGCGGCCTTGTGAATGTTGACCTGCTTAAAAGTCTTACTCACATCGGCTACGGAGAGCGTGATCACATAGTCATCCGGAACAGCTGGTGCTCTCATGCATGCTTCAGTGTTGCTTGCCTCGAAGCGAGCATAGAAGTGGTTTAGCTCGTCTGGTAGGCTTGTGTCACTGGGCAGCTCGCGGCTGTGCTTCCCTTTGTAGTCTGTAATAGTTTTCAAGCCCTGCCACATCCGACGAGCGTCAGAGCCAGTGTAGTACGATTCAATCTTAGACCTGTATTGACTCTTTGCCTGTTTGATGGTTCATCGGAGGTCATAGCGGGATTTCTTATAAGCGTCCGGGTAGAGTCCCGTTCCTTGAAAGCGGCAGCTCTACCCTTTAGCTCAGTGCGGATGTTTCCTGTAATCCATGGCTTCTGGTTGGGGTATGTACGTACG